ATTGTAGAAAGATTTGGAAAAAGACGACCGTAAGTTATTGTAGAAAGATCTGGAAAAAGACGACCGTAAGTTATTGTAGAAAGATTTGGAAAAAGACGACCGTAAGTTATTGTAGAAAGATTTGGAAAAAGACGACCGTAAGTTATTGTAGAAAGTAAAAAGACGGAAGTTATTGTAGAAAGAGATGGAAAAAAGACAAGCGCACATTATTGTAGAAGCTAAAAAAAAAAGATCACTGTTAGGTACCGTAGAGTGAGATAGAACAAACATATAACCATAACTTATTTTAGAAAGAGCTGGAAAAAGACAACCGTAAGTTATTGTAGAAGCTTTAAAAAAGATAACTGTTAGTAATGTGAGAGTGAGGTGGAGCAAACATAACCATAACATATCGCAGAGTGAGGTGGAAAAGGGCAACTGTAAATTATCGTAGAATGAGATGAAAAAAAAGACAACTTTACACAAGTCTTTCATAAGTCCGAGCCTATACTGTCTACAACTCAAATTAATATTGACATACAACTAAGAACACTAACAATGTGCACTGCTGTTATAAGGCTTCTATAGATGGAGAGTTTGAGTGCAATTAAATACTTTAATACTATTTTGATTCTGATTTTCAATACAAAAAATGTGAACGACTTTTGGTGTAGGTCAAGATTTCTGGTAACCCCCGAAATCTGGGTTAGCCTGCTTGTCCTTAAAAGCGCCAATTATTAATAATTGACATACGGCTTAGAACACTGATTTTAAATACTAAAGGTGTGAACGTCTGTTTCTGTGGTAACTTTAATCTAAAGAGTGTATGGTCACTTTTAAACACAAGGGGGCTATCCCAAAAAATGCTGTTTTGAAAAAATCGAAGGTAAATGTTTTGGACCCTTGTTCAGTTTTTTTAAAAGATCAAGAGAGTTTTTCCTATAACCAAACACATATACACATCAATTTAACCAAACTTCTCCTATAGGTAGGGCATTGCCCACTTTTGGAGTAGGTCAAGATTTCTGGAAACCGCCGAAATCTGGGTTAGCCCGCTTGTCCTTAAAAGCGACCGTATAATGCATGTATCTTCACTCCCTTGTGTTTTTTGTTAGACGAAGGTATCGTAAAGCGCCTAGAGCTGTGTTGTACGGGAGTGGGTGCTATAAATGATCCGATCATCATCATCATCATTATTATTATTATCATTATTATTATTATTATTATTATTATTATTAATATTATTATTATTATTATTATTATTATTATTATTATTATTATTATTATTATCATTATTGCTATTATTGTTATAAAAACTAGCTGTGTATATTCATTTTTTAAAAATGAACCCCCCCCCCTAAAATAATGATAATAATAATAATAATAGATAGCATTTGTATAGCGCAAATCCCCTCTCAACAGCAAGCTATAATATTCGCTTGACAGTCAAATGGTAGACATTACTTGTGGGTGGCTTGCGGGTGCTCTGATGTGGTTTGCTCCTCCTTTCCTATCAAACACCTATCGTGTCGATCTCTCCTTCTTCTTTTTAAAAACAATAATTTGTTACTTTCTTGTAACATATCTAATCTTCGGCACTTATATTATGACCTTATAGTGTTGCAAGTGCAGTAAAACTCTTATTAAAAGAACCTGTGCAAAATGAGTTTTTGAAATCTCAATCAAATGATAGATATTTGTCTGCTAAATGTTTTGTGGAAAACAGCAATCTGACAAGTGAAAGTGGGTGGTTGGTTGGAGGGTGTTCGGATGGGATTTGCTCATACTTTCCTATCAAACATCAATTAATTGTCCTGATCTCTCCTCCTTCTTTTTATGTTTCTTACTCTCTTGTAACACTTCTAATCTTCTGAACTTGTATGACCGTATTGTGTTGCAAGTGCCGTAAAACACTAAAGCAAAATAGCGGTCATGTGTGTGGAAACGTTACTTTTGTGTCTGTCTTTCTTTACGGGAAATTAATCATCATTATAATAATATTAATATTTAGATAGATCTATAGAGATCTAGGAATAAGCCTAGTGTTCGTGGAAACGTAGCTTCTTCGTATTCGTTTCTTTACGAAAAATTACTTATCATTATATAGATCTATGTTTCGAAAAAAAAAAGTGAAAGTGGGAAAGATGTCCCGAAAATGGCGCAACACTCACGTGTAGGAGCAGTAGAGCGGGGTGGCGTATCTTTCTTGACCGTTGGGCAGCTGTCCCGGATTGATGTAGCCTTGCCCCAGACCTGGTCGGATCAAACCCAACAGCAGAAGGGACACAACAGCCAGCCGTACTGCCACCATCTCGATGATATTTGTTATGTTTGGCTTATTCCTAAACTTTCCAAACAAACAACACCCAGTCTCACACTGCTCAGCTAAAAAGCTCCAAAGCTCGTCCAAGTTTCACTATCTGCCTGACTTATTATTTTTCTTCCTGCGTTCACACGCTTTATTGTTTGGTTAAGTCAAAGCGTTCCGTGTGGGATGCCTGCTTTCTCCGGGTGAAATGAGATGGGAGACGGGTCTTTCTTGTAAGTAAGCACAGCCGAGTGAGTTAGCTATTCATCTACCACGATCAGCTGATCTCTATGGTGTCCTATTTACTGGTAGGTGTCAGCTTTCTCCTCTTCTCTGAGGTCAGCGGTATGTTCGTCTTCTTCGGACTGATTTTAGGGGGCTGATTTTTTTGTGTGCTTACGTCGTTTTGTCAACTAGATTCTCAAAAAAGTTCTCGTTTTTCAATATTTGCTCTGCTTCTGACCTTTAATGTTCGCTTGTCTATCCTTTTTTTTTTGTTTGTTGGTGGGAATTATTCTGCCTTCTATGAAAGGGGTAAGTTGGTTCTCGGAGGTTTCTTGAAATGTGTCTGAAAGTGAAATATATCTGAAAGTATAAAAACATGAATTACATATTTCATTTCATACCTCAGTGAAAATGATACAGTGGCAATGATACAAAAAAATAGTACTCATAATGTTTTCATTTGTCCCGCAAAATAAAATTAAAAAGGTGAAATTATTATTTGTTAGACATTTACACACACGCTCACACAAAACCACACACACACACACACACACACACACACACACACACACTCACACACATACAAACATACACACACACACACACACACACACACATACATGCAAATGCACAAAAACAGCACAGCACAAGCAAGCAAAAGAGCGTGAGATAGATAGATAGATAGATAGATAGATAGATAGATAGATAGATAGATAGATAGATAGATAGATAGATAGATAGATAGATGGCATTGTTACGTCGATCCAGGAAAATAAATGGCAAAACAATAAAATATAATTACGGAAAAAAAGAAACATGTATCACGACGCTGTCGTATCAGGTGGTCATCAGTTTTTGTGCTTGTGAAGTTATAGGTATCATTTGAAAGTTGATTTATTTGTTTTGCTTTCGATGAAATAAATTTCCATCTATCTTAAATAGAACTCAAGATATTTGCGATTAAAGGAAGTGATGTCGTCTGGTTTTCAGTAGTGAAATAAGCGAGAAAATGGCAGTCCTTGAAAAAAGAAAATGACATATTTTGTGCCTTTTATCAATATTTTTTTAAAATGTGAAATTCATATGGAAATGTGTTTTTATATGGACATAAAGGAGGTTGAGCTAAAGAATAAAAACTCAATAAAAAATTCCAATTTGGCGGGAAAATGTCTGTTTCTCCGACTTCTGTATTTTAACGAGCACCCGATTTCACTACGCTGCCTTGCACGTGTATCACAACAGGCGTGCCCTATAAAGCCGATCTGACCGGCCTAAGTAGTGTAGCGGGTAGCTGCTTCGTCGTCGCACGCAGGACAAGCAAGTTCAATTCTCGTGTGGGGAGAAATTTATTCGAGTCTTTCAGGAAAGGACAGTGTATCACTCCCGGTCAGTCCGGGTTACCCCTTAAATAAAAAGCCGAAACAATCTTAATTGTGTCGATGGGGACTTAAGTTTTCTACATTTACAATTATAATTACAGCCCCTAACGGTGACAACGCCAATGAAAATGAGAATCTTTATTCATCTTGAAGGGAAACATTTGACTAGGTTATTTGCAATGGCAGTAGACGTTACAAAGGTTAGGTGCACTCACGCCTACGCACAACAAGACAGGACATTAGTAAACACTTGTCTCACGTATGGTAGGAAGGTCCACTATTTACATAAATAAATACAAGCATTATTATGATTCGGAGATCCCTTCGGAAAACAAATAAACACCTTGGAATAGGCTTTTGGTACGTGAGAACTACGCTTCAAACAACTAAATTAAGTGTGGCGTCGACCGTCGCTCCCCCTGAGGCGAGGGGATACAATATTATGTGTAAATTGTGCCCTCTCGACTCGGGTTCGAGGATCCTGGGTCAGAATATCCGCAAGCTCAATTGGACTCGAAAAGAATACTCGGTGCAAACTATCAGGGAGTAGAATGCTGCAATTTTAAAGATCATAATCTTCCAACTGGTTACCTCCAACCCGCTTACAAATATCCCAACATACCTGCCACTATACTTTTTTCCCAATTAGATCCACTCTACACTTGTCTTGGCCCAATAGAATAGGCTAACACTAACAATGTCACCTTAGCAGAGACTGAGCCCACCATTTCGGAACTTCCCGGTGACCGTAAAGACGGTTCCAGTAGGGAACGGGATAGAGGGTGCCTACATCCCTCGTGAAGGACTAACGCTAACATTACTAAAACGCAAACCCTCATCATCACTCATCACCACCATTACAATATAGATATTTTAGATATTATCTGTGCAGCACCCAATTTCACCACGGAAACCAGGCGACCTCACATCCTTCAAATGAAGATATATTGAAGTTCTATTCATGATAAATTAAACAGACGTTTATTTCATTGGAAGCTTTCAGATGATACCAATAACTCCACATGGCCCAAAAATTGACGATCCCCTGATTCCACAATGCCGTGACAAAATATATTATTCGTTCGTCTTTCTCACCTTGTGGGATTCCTCCGTTTGGTGGTCGGCCTCACAACCCTAAGTCCATCTGATCACGGCCGCCTGGAGAGACCCCCGTTTTGTTGCCTGGTGCACCAGTCACGTGATGGTGACGTCATCAAGCACGTTTGTGCACCACAATGGAGATGACATGACGACGACACACCCATGGGGCGGGAGTGGGGTGGTTGGAGGAGGAGGTGAAGGAAGACGTTTTTCAACCCTGACTTTGAATAGAATGTATCACGACGTGGTGGTATCGGGCGCTCGTTAGCTTCTGGGCATGTGGAGTTATTGGTATCATCTGACAGTTGATTTATTTGCTTTGCTTCCATTTAAATGAATATCTATTCATCTTTAATTTAACTCAAGATATCTGTATTTGAAGGAAGTGCGTTGGTTTGGTTTCAGTGTTGAAATTAATGAGAAAATTGCCGTCAAAGTTGGGCCACTCCAATAGCTAAAAAGTCTTTGAAAACTGTAAAATGTGTTTTTTGCTCTTCCAAATAATGACATCGAAGATATCGCCATTTTTCCTCAGACTCAACACCTTGTATATCCATTTCTGTGAATTTGATTGAAAAACGTTTATTAAAGGCACAACAAATGAAAATGTTCACTTTCCAAGTACTCTCAAGCTTTGGAAGTCACCCAACTTCGTTGACCATTATCTCGCTAATCTCACCTCTGAAACCAGGCGACGATCCCATCCTCATTCATTCGAAAATATCTTCTCTTCTATTCAAGATATGCGATTATTTTTATTTCGTCAAAAGATGGCCAAATAAACATTCTTTAAGATGACACCAAATAAGTCCAGATACCCGACAATTGACGAACGCCTGATTCTGCCACGTCGTGACACATTTGATTATTTGTTCACTTTTGTATGGAGAGAAACTTGACCCCCTAGGGTGCAGCAGGAACTAATAAGTGGCGGTGGTTGTTATTTCTGGCGGGCGCGGCAAGACATGAGTGGCACCCCCCTCTTACGTCATTCAAACAGCCAGAATATGTTATTTTTGTATAGGGGCATAATTTAGGAGAGCGCACGACCTTTTGCAAATATAATATGCATATGAAAACTCCAGTAGAAAAACCAGGTAAGTCGCATAATTTTTTTTTTTTTAAGTCCTCTTTTCAGTTGTTGTATTTTTAAAAAAGCTAACTATAAATTTCCCTGCAAATGATTGCAGAGATAACCCGGCAAAGTCCTGAATAGTGTCGGGTAAAAGAAATGGTGCTGTACGCACTCTGAGATACAAACTTTCCGACTTTGAATTTCCACTTTCTTCACTTTTTTCAGAATGTGACTTAAAAATGATTTTTCCACTGGAGTCTTCCATTGTCAGGACAACCACACCCTCCTCCCTCCCCTTTTGTGGCCACATGATCACACCCTCTCCCCAAAATAGATGCACTGCCTTTAAATATGCTTCAAGGAAATGCATATTTATGGGGAATAAATTTAAAAAAATGATCCAAAAGTATAATGTGCTCAACAGATCAGAGATGCAGTCAGATATAGCGGACACTTATCGTGGGGAAAAAATGGTTGTTTTAGGTCAAGTGGACATCTTGAACAGTCTTTTTTTTAGTATGTGTTTTACGGCGCTCGCAACTGCATAAGGTCATATGAGCGCGAGGGACATATTAAACATTTTCAGTTTGTAAGAAATTTAGAATTTTGCCTGGGTAGCGGCCGAAGCCTACTCTTATCGAATTTAGACCACCAAGGGATCTTTAACTTGCGCAATTTGTACACGGGACCTCCGAGATAACAGTGTCTTTATAATAGATATAAATGCAAGGGAGAAAGTGACGTGGGAAGTGGTCGTTTGTACAGGTGATTGTCTCGGACAGGTGGTCGTTCAAGCAGGTTGGACCGTATTTACCCACACCAGGTTCGCCACGGTGAAGCCACGGACCCCTCCCTTTCAAAACTGTTTGCATATGATATCATCTAACTGATGAAAGGAGCAGGATGTTTACAAAATGATCCCGTCCCATTTTGTCTCCAGAAACGGAATGACCGTTTTTTTTTTTCTTTTTCAAATTTGGTTGTTTTTTGGGGGTTTTTGTTTTGAGAATCCATGAAAAGTGTTTTTCACGGAGCTGCACGAAGATACACAGTCATGACACGGTGTAATCAGGCGCTCGTTAAAATTTGACTCAAAATACTGAGATATTAATACTTGTATAAACTTTAAGCCTGTTCATTTGACTTGCTTTCGATTTTAAAAATATCTCTCTGTCTTAAATAGAAATCAAGATGTTTGCGACTCAAGCAGGTGGAGGTCGCCTGGTGTCAGACGTAAAAGTAAAGAGAAAAAGGCTACCAAAATGTGGTCATTTCCAAAACTTGAATGTCCTTGAAAACTCCAAATGTTAATTTATATTTGTATGCCTATGATTCAAATTTTTTCAGTGAAACCCACACATCAATGCCTTGTTAATGAACACAAAGGGTGTTGACCCAAAATCTTTTGAAAAAAACCCAAATGCAAAAAATTGCTCAGTATGTGAAAAAACGTCGGTTTCTCTTCGATGTCGGTATTGTAACGAGAGCCTGAGATCGCCCCGATGACAGACAATCTTGGAAGCGGGAAACTCCTGTCAGTGTATTCAAAGTCATGCAGCCAAGCTCGGGAGGACATGTTTCAGTTTCAAGCCGTTCCGTCACCGTTTGTAAGAAATGAATAATAATTGATAACCACTGTCCTCGTTTTTCCCCCTTCCGTGGCCTTATCCGATCAAAGCTTACAACATCCGATTAGCGTACCGTTGGGCACGTTACTGTCTCCCGGTTCAACACGCCCCCACCCCCCCATC